AGGTGGATAACCCTAAATATATCAATGCTAAATAATTTATATGCAGTTAAATGCAATTTAATGGAGTCAACAACAAAGAGTGTCAGCGTTTTCTAGTAGTCAGTGGTTTTTGCATATACACATACATTGGAATTCCATGTGCTCTTCATTGGAGGCATTCTAGTGTGTGCTTTGAGAGTGTACTTGAAGCACTGTGAGGAATGGCAACTCTTTGTCCAGGCAGTTTTCCCCACCCATTCCCTCCCTCTTTCCACTGTTTATTCAGTGTGATGGGTGCCTGTTTCCCTTTCCTGTGTGGGGGCTCATGGCTGGGTTGCCAGGATTTGCCAGGTAAGGGAGAAGTCTCTGTCTAGGTGCTGGCTGCCAATAATGGAAGTTCCTGGATGTTTCAGGCACCCAACCTCCAATTAGCGATGCAGTTGTTAACTTGTGGATAGCACAGTATATTTTGTTGACACTTATTCGCTAGATAATGATTTATCTGTTTGAAATTGTTTTCTGCCCTTTGAGCAACTGGGCCTAGATTGTTAATTAATTACTTTTATTAATTGTAACTATGCCTCTGCTTTCAAGAAATACAAGAAGAGCTGTGGAAGTTTGGATGGATGATTATAAAAAGTTTTACTATGCAGCAGTCCCCTATGCTAAGAACACACCTTTTGGAGAGTGAGTTTTCTGTTCAAGTATTTTCTGGTGTCATGCAAGTTGTACTTGATTTTATTTTATCCTTAGTTCTGACTTTTTCAGTTGACAAAGTCATGAAGATGTATAAAGTTAATGATTGAGTATGATTTAATATGTCCATCAGGATAATTTGGATTGACAATATGTAAACAGTGACCCAGTGTGTCATTTTATTTATTTAGTGATGAAAGCTTTGGTCTACTTAGGGAGTAGACAAATCTTCTTGATCAATTTTCCTTATTATCTTTACTTTGAATGTTTTTCTGCTCTCTACTATGTAAAATCTATATTATTGCGGTGGATGTTCTTTCTTTTATCCTTATTACGACTTTTGTTCCTCCATCTCTTTTAACAGCATTCAAAGCCGACTTGCACTGCAGAAGAAATTTTCAATTTCCTTATTATCTTTACTTTGAATGTTTTTCTGCTCTCTACTATGTAAAATCTTTATTATTGCGGTGGATGTTCTTTCTTTTATCCTTGTTACAACTTTTGTTCCTCCATCTCTTTTAACAGCATTCAAAGCCGACTTGCACTGCGTAAAAAATTGAAATGTAAGCCTTTCAAGTGGTATGTCCAGAATGTGTATCCTGAACTCAGGTGGGTAGGGTAAGGTTGAAAGTAATCAAGGATTGCTGTAGTCTTCCCTTCTGCCCTGTATGCCCTAAGATTTCTCCAGAGAACACCTGCTATCCTCAACCAATCAGATGCAGAACTAAAACCAATTGCTACCAGATCATTACGTAGCATTTTTCCACATCCTAGGCATATTATTTTACCTTTGTTTTGATTAGTAGTGGTGATTATTAAGGCTTTTTTTTTTTTTTAATGATGATCAATCAAAGTGCACTTCAGAAATAACTTAGTTAGTCACACTGTACACTGTACATGTACTTGTAAACATATTGCAAGTGTACATGTGTTAAAGAATGAACTTGTTGGCACTCTTTACATCACAATTAACTCAAAATAACATCAATCACATAACTTTTTTATTGTTTATTGTTTATTGATTACAATTTTATAATCTACACTGTATTACACAACAATCATACCTATGGATTACCTACAGTTCTGTGTTACAAAGTACATTATGTTACAGTATTGCTTTGCTACATGTAACTTGCATCTTTTACTAAATACCATGATATATAGCTGAAATGATCATTGAATTCTTACAAGTAGTTTCCTACAAAATACTTTTGTCAGACTTCCAAGAAACATGAAAATAGCCAAAAACCACAATATATGGTAGACATATTATTCAAATTCAAAAAACAAAAATGAAAGGAAAACACTTCAAATATGTTCAATTGTAATTATATCGGAACCCGAGTCAAGGGAAAATCACAGAAATGTTCATAGTGACAAGTATTTTGTGCCATTTTTTCCAATTGTTTTTCCATCAATATCTTACAACTTTGATACAAAGCAAGTTTGTTCTGAGATGGTGCTGTTAAGAGACCATGTCATATTTATCACCATGATTATCATAAGAATTTTATGTCAATAGAGTTCCTGAGGATGATGACACCACAGCATTTGGGGAGGTCAAACAAGGCAAAGACTGCATGGACACCCTAGGGCATACTAGTGGGGGTACTGTGGGGCTGTTTGAATGTCACGGAGCTGGAGGAAATCAGGTTAGTGGCTACTTAACATACAAAGCCTGTATCTTTGATATACTCAGGCTCATACATGTAGTGATTGTTGAATCTAACTGAGTTGCAGATGTGAATTGCCTGAAAAGGCTGCAAGGGGCTTTGTTTACCTGTATGTATTAATCATCAAAAATAGATCTTAACTGGTAGAAACATGCAGTTGAATAAAAGTAGCAAATGTGAAACAAATTGAATATATAGGAGAGCACATTCACTAAGTCAGACAAGAGAGAGTTGATGGTATTGGTTGAAATTTTTCACTTAACAGTTGTGGAATTTTGTCAAGAACAAGATGTTGAAACATGACTCGTTTTGTCTGGAAACTGCCAATGAAAAAGAAGGGACCCCAGCACTTTTACGTGAATGCGATGAGCAGAATTCCAATCAGGTATAGTTGAAAAAACTTTGCCATTTTCATATAAATCCTTATATACCAGATGAATGCTGTCTAGCTGGAAATGTAGAATGCAATTATTCATGTCTGGCAGTTAACCCTTTACACCTTACCATCAGTATGCATATTCCCCAATCTGTTCTCCCTATATTTTCTAAGGTGCTGACAAGGAGAATTTGGTTATCTATCAAAAGCTTCTTTAGTTGGTGATCATTTCCTTCATTCTCGCAACCTTAATGTTTGATTCAGGGGTAATGTTGTTAGGGGAAATTAGACACTAGCTAGACACTCATAGGGATTAGAGGATTAATGGTACAGAGCAAAACAGGGTTATGTACTGGTAATTTGAAATGAGTTCAGGTGCAAATGATCTCAAAATAATGATCTGTAAGTAGTTTCATTTGGAATCTTCCTTATGTATGGGATATTATAATGTATTTAGAACAAAGGACTATGCTTAACCAGTTAAGTAAAATTTAGACCTGAACTCTATTTTCAACTAAAAATGTATTTATGGCATTTAAAGTGAGACCAAAGATGTCATTTTTGGAAGGAGATTTATGGGGTGCAATTAAAATTTTTTTTCTTTTGTCTTTTTTTTTGTTTGTTTTTTTTTTATTCTGCTCTCTGTAGCACTGGGAGTATGACAAGGGCTCTAACAGGATTAGACATGTTGGCTCAGGGAAATGCCTGGATAGCAAAGATCAGAAGGAGAAAGGACTTGTTTTAAACTCATGTAGTGACTCATTTACTCAAAGCTGGGCATTTGAGGTGAATCTTTAGCAAAGGTTCCATTACCTAGGGTATGAATTTTAAAATTAATTTATAAGAAGTTGACTTGCACAATTATTGAATTTTCAATTCTAACTAGCAATTGACTCATGTTCTGGCCGTTTAAATCAACTGTAGGGTAGAAAATATTTTTGTATGTTGTCTTAAGCTGATTTTATATAGAAATGTTTTGTTTTTCCTATCAATGATGGTTGTAAATTTTTAACTATTAGTAGTAAAATGTTAGAACTCATATTCTGGTAACATTCTCTACTGTCTTGCGCACTTTAACATGTCATTAGCCAATCCTTCATTTGGGGGAGTGCAGGAGTGTGATTACATGTTAGTATATTGTGAATAAGTGAAGACTTGGACAAGTTGGATCATCTGAAAGAGGGTTTGGAAAAGGAATTTGGAGTTTCCCCCAAAATTTTCAAGGCTTACTCTGATTTGCAGAATAATTGAGGTTAAACAAAATATATCAAAATGAGATTTAAAATCTGTACACATGTTTATTGAAAAATGATTGATTACAGAAAATTTATACTGTAGGTAAAATGTAGGTTTCCAATTTTGCCAGTTACAGATTTTACATTTCTTGAGATGCAGATTTTACAAAATCTGGCAGTGGGCAAGCTTAAAGTTCCCTATTATGGTCTGCACCTACATTGTATCCCTCTATTTCTAAGATTGAAAATAATTTCAAATTGTCAGCTGTTTCTTTACATAGTGCAGAAGTGAACTTTACATTTTTATATTTTCCATGGTCTAGTGGAATGATTATCACAGAAAACTTGCAATTTTTATTGAACCAGAAAGTCACATGCATCACATGTTATCACCACCATTGTGTAAATTTTGCCGAGCAAAAAGATTGTATCAGTATTCAGTTGTAAAAAATGTATTTACATCAGGATTTTCATTGATTTGTCCTGAAATTTAAAAAAAATTGTTATAAGTAATTAGAAGACATTAAAAAAATGTATTAAAATAATTACATTTTCTTGAAAAAATTAAAATCTATTATGGAAGAATTGATTTTATGATGAATTTTGCTACATTATTGTATTGTCAACCATGAAAGTAGATGTGTGAAGTCACTGTTGTGGAGCGTGGTGTGATTTAACAGCTTCATTGTACAAGCAGTATTTTCAGTAGTAGTACGAGTGGATTCAGGTGAATGCTTTGCTCACTAATTTTGGGAAATTGCTGCAATTTTCTCAAATGGAAATTTAATTTCACCTTTGTAAAGCCCACAGGAAGGGGCTGGAGCACAAAAGAAGTGAAAGAAGAAACACTGGACATAGTCGAGTGTTTCTCCCCACCTCTCACTTCTTGAGTGGTTGATGCTCTATACTCTCATAAAGCATGCTACAATAAGTCAATCAGAATCCTTGTAAGAATGGTTGATTCTTGTAAGAATGGTCAGTGAAATCTGGCCAAATTGAAGCTCATAAAAACACACAAATTTTTTACACATTGCAAGTAGAAAACAAACTTCTCAAGGCACTTGTTTTGAATGAATGACAGCTTAATTCACAGGAACATAAATATTGCTTGGGATGACAGCACTACTGTGACTGATGTGGCCTTCCACTCAGTGCACTGGAAAGGATATCAGCTGTAGGTCAGCTCTATCTTTATACTCTGATAGAACGTGCTCTTTCAACCAATGGCAGCACGTGTTATATCCAAACTTTATTATAATAGTCAATACAATGGTAAATTAATGCAGAACTGAAAAAAGGTGGAACGTTTGGGATGTGCTCTTACCCATGGACCAACCTAAACGCCAGGGATTTCTTGGTCAGTTTTATTTTCAAGATGATGAAGGGTTTTCAAGATGGCATCTTGACCTGCATTATCTTGAAAGCTGACTGAGGAACCGCTGCAAGTTAAACAACACAACTGAAGAAAAATCCACATTAAAGGTCAGTTGCTGGTCTGTTTATGATCCTTGTTCTTGTCTATCACAGCTGGTTCTCCTTTCCTCAAAAACAAATTAAACTAAACATTTTGAGTCAAGAAAACTGTTAAACATTGATAATAACGCGTTATTCACGAGCAGTTGGAGAAAGGGGCCAGAGGTGTAATTTCAACTTGAGAGTATGTTTGTAAAAATTTCCCTTCAAATAAGAAGAGATACTTGATCATTCAAGGATGTACGTGCATGCACAATGTAATACTGCTGGTCTGGTTTGGTGTGTTAAGGAAATCTTAGAGCTTTGATCCATCCTGTTGTCAAAAGCTCTAGCCCTAGATGCCACAGATTGCTGCCAATCTTACCAAGCGGGTAGTCATGCATTTCCAAAATGAAAAAGCACACAACCCCAGGCCCCACCTCTTCCAGGGGCACATTAACCTTTTCATTCCCGTGAACAGCAACTAACAGGTAATTTCTCATTACAATATTGATTGATTGACAAGTTTATTTATACCTGGTAAAAAATTCCTTCTGCTTAATTGACGAGCAGCTAGTGGTAATTTTACCATCAAAATAAGATAAAAGTTAACCTGTCATGTCCTAAGGCTGCTTTTCAAGGATGCCGTGACTCATTAAGGGCTGTGTTGCAATTGAATTAATTTGAGGAAGCAACAGAATGTGGTCATTAGGATAGGCTGTTCCACACCTCAGCATTGATCTTTGTAAGAGAAACTTCTTTTAAGTACATAGTGAGGGACTGTAGACGAGCTAATTTGTCTCAAGAATACCCCAATCAGTAAGGTATACTTTTAGCAATATATTTTCACTTATAAAGGTGGTCAGAGGAGAGATAGACATAAGATTAGGAGATATTGCCTTCTTCAACTCTGTTTTCTGCCGAAGTTGTAAAAAATATATTGCAGGAAAAACAATGAGGAGTTTCTGAGGGGGATGGGGTACTTGGATTTAATATCCAAGTTGTCTGAATTGTTCTTCAAAGCTACAGGATATGGTATTAAGAGTATTTCCTTGATGGAAAACTCACAATATGATTTGATTGGAGACTGATTCAGGCCTTTAAGTACAATACACTAAAGCTACCATCTAGTTAGTGGTGATGTAATACCTAGCCCAAATTACTGGCAGTAGAACTATTACTTTGGAGTGTTGTTATCAGGGAAAGAAGAATTAGAATTTCAGAAATGTGAGCTTTTTAAAAACTTATGATTTTCTTAGCATAGGATGGGAAAGCTTTATAAGGAGAGGAAAGCATATAAAACATTTACTGTTCACCTAGCTTGTCCCTTGTTGCTAACCTTTACAAAGAAGTGGGAAAGGTTTTTAATTCAGTTTGTCAATTGTTGAACAGAGACAACAAATCATGACTTCAGGGCACTCGGGTCTTAAAAAAACTAGTCTACCACATGCCTCTCAATGATAGTTGTATTAAGGGCTCATTATTTGTTAACAATGAAAGTTCAGTTGAAAAGACATTATCATAAAAAATTTCATTCCACACATTCAAAACAAATACAGTTTCCATTAATAATAATTAGTGGATCACATGTAGGTCTTAAATGTGCTACTAAGTATATAAGGTGATCCAAATCTTGAGTGAATACACTTAATAAAAAAAATGATTTTTTCTCACACTTCTTTCTTTGCTGTTCAACATCGTAATCTAAAGCAATGGAAGCTTAAGTTGAAACTTAATGGAACAATTAACCGAGTAAACATCGAACCACAACAACGACGTACATTTATTAAAATGGGAGTCTTAATACAAAAAAAAAAAGCCTTAGTCCGTCGACATCATCCACTTAAAAAAAAATTGAAAATCCCAAGAAAATAAGTGAAGACATTACAGCATGTATTCGCAACGATGCAGCAATATGCACGGCATAAGTAATCAGTTGCACTTGCAAAGCACACGCTTCCAATTCATGGTCTCCTCCTTTGCCAAATTTGCTGTTTCTTTCTCTTCCTGATAAACTCCTCCATGTTTGGGTTATCCTCGAGGAATTTTTGAAACTTTCTGAGATGAAACTGCCCGTTTTGTCTTAGAAATAGTCCTTCGTCGCCATTTCTCTGTTCCTTGGGCAATTCTTCGCTCACAATCGTTATCGGCTTTATATCGAGTAGATGTTTGACAGATCGTAATGTCCCATTGATTGTGGTTGTATTCTTCTGAATCACAGTTTGATGTAACTTTCCTAGTCCAAGCGCCTTGATGGTTCTTTTTTCCCACCATGGTCGGCCAATGCAGCTTCTGACCTGAGTTACTGCGTGAAGTTTATGTGCCACGACTCTCCATTTAGACGCCATGTTGGAGAATGCAGGCTCAGTAAGATAGCGGATTCCTCTCAAACAACTATCTCTTCACTGTATGCCTTGCTCTATTGTCCGCATGAAACAGATCAGTATGCAGCGGACACCTCTTAAGATCATTGCCACACTCATTGTTCGTCCCCGTCAAAGAGTTTATATAAAAGCTGCCTAACGAAGAGGATGGCTTTGATAACAAAAAGCAGCAGCAATCGTGCTCGGATCTTGCTGGGAATACTACCTGAAATCCCGCAGACATTGTTTATCAAAATTATGCGCAGAATTCAGTCAGGGATCATTACTAAGAGCAAAGGTATGTCAAAGAAAATTGTCAAGAACCTTTAGCATCAATCCACGACCAATAAATGATTATTATCGATAATAAACCAGCGAAAATCGAACAATGTTAATTAATTTTTACTCGTACTTAAATTGGCCATGGATCAATATCAAAAAGGAAAAAATGGCAAGTTTTAATTTGAAGTTTCGCTTTCAAGGTGCTGACTGCTGAATGTTAAAAAATAAAAATGGTTCAGCTTAGTGAAACTATCGTTTTTCAGACCTTTGGGGTGTGTTTCTACAACCGTTCTGTTTTATCAAAGAGAACATTCCACAAATCCCTTATTCATAAGTTTTGTTCGATTTCAAGAGATAGCCAAATCGAGTTTGCAAGAACGTCTTTTGATCAAGATTATTTGTAAAAGAAAGAAATTATTTACAACTAGATAAAAGCTTCAACAAATACAAAAAATTTGGAAAGTGCTGAATATCTGGCAAAATAGCAGCTTTATAGTGGCTTATGATACTACTCAACCCTAAAGAGGGATAGTCGATTCTTAAACGTTCGTAGTGTGAAGTTGTTGAGGTCTGTTTCCACTGACTTCGATGGGAGCTTCAATGGTGTATTCAGAATCTGTTTTCATTGCCGAAGATACAAAAAAAAAGTACTGTTAACATATTGGAATAAAGTCAAAGTGTCCTTTACTACAGAGTGAACGGGCTTCGGTTTACCATAAGCACGGAAAGAGACTGTTCCAATGGGTTGCTTAGGGATCACAGTTTTTACAAGCTAACTCGTTAAAACAAACAAACCAACGAGCACAGACAGAAAAAAACAAAACAAACAAAATAAAAACAAAACCAAAACAAACGAACAAATAAAACAAAACTAAGAAAAACAATCAAACCAAAGAGATTGGCATGGCCCTCATTCTGAATAAGCATATTACCTCGATTAATGACTTGAAGTTGAACTTGATCTTGATCTTCCAAATGGTCTATCTTGTTCCTGCGCATGCTAATGACTTTGCCACAGATCCCGGCCCTACAGAGGCCGGGCACGTGACGTACCACAGACAACCCACTCTTTATATGCTTCCAGACCTTGGAGTCCTGTCTTTTCAGCAGAAAGAAGGTTAAAATGAGAACGGCCAGGATTGCAATACAGGACTGCAAAAAAGAAAAAAGGAGTCACATGTAACTAACTGTCCATGTCCAATAAAAACAAACACCACAGGAAAACAGTCAAGTTTTTTTTAACACGCTAGGTCCCCGGGCTGAGGAATTCCTTAGCCTGTAGACAAGGGGATTATAGGAGAGTGAGGCCTTTATCTAAAACTCACAGCGAATTAAAATGCGAAAGATCATTAATTTATTCTCTTTTCTGTAATATCGCCTAGTTTCAATATATAACGTATATAGTATGCTTTTCTTTGGTTGAAGACCTGATTTAGTTGTACTAAACATGGAAAACGTAAACTGCTAAAGGATTTAAAATATGAGGAAACTTTGGTATGCAACTCTAAGTAGCCCAACAACTATAATTTGCAAGTTTCTTACTAAGGGGAGAGGAAAGAGGAGGGAGAGGAGATGGGGCAGCTGGGAAACGCATGCTTTGAATTTCTTACCAGCACAATAAGGGATGATGGGTTGAGTGAGCCCGGGGGTAAGCCGTGAACTCGGATCAGGAATCGAATAGTATAGTCACAGTTTGATGAATCAGCATCTACGATCCTAAAAATTAGAGACAAGAAAAATTAGACGCATCCTTGATTTAAAACAAACCGAGGCGTCTAATGAAACAAAAAGGAAAAGCGGCGAAATACCAGACTTTGATGCAGCTTACCTGTTTGAAAATTCCAGCTTGAAATAATACTCGGCATTCCCGGGAAAGGTTGGGCCAATATCAGCACAAGGGCTCTGTGTACCACACAACCAGCTGTAAAGATCGTAAGAAGACAGATTCACGCAGTCAGTAAGTCAGTTTAAGTATTCTCGTTCGTTTCTGTGTCAGTGTCCATGTAAAGGACTATTCATTTTTTAGGTTAAGGCTGGTTTCTTCTCACTGTCCATGTTACTGATGATAGCGATGCCATGGTCGATGTCAAAGTCAAAGCCAATGTCAAAGTCGATGTCCATCTCAATATAATTTCGAAGTCTATTTCAAGGTTCTCAAAACAAGCACTGTTACTACTTTGGTAACCTGGACATACCGATGGAAGATTATCGCACGTTTATCATAACTCAGTTCACTAACCTTATACCATTTGTCTTGCTATCAAAAACGGGAATATCTCCCAGCGTCTTTAATTTAGATGCCCAGATCAAAGATGCCATGGAGCTACAAAAGACATGCGATCAAGAAGTCTTGCAATATAGGAGCAACTTATATCTACAATGCACGAAGACAGACAATAAAGTAACCGGTATAAATAGAGAGCAATTTCCAGTGGTACGTCCAAAATAATCCGAGACTCTGTTGGTCTTGCTTAACTAAATCATGAGGTAGGTTACATAATCTCGAGCTATCCTATTACAAAACTAAACCCGATCAGAATTTGGCCATTAGTGTTTTTCACGCGTGTTTTCCACAGCGGTGGGGGACGAGAGCTGTCCCGACTGCACCACTCCCGCCCCCAGTTGCAGGTGGTATCGTTCTTTGTTATGATTTGCTGTTACAATGTTGGTTTTTGATTCATCGCACTTAGACTAACACTGCTCTTTACAATTAATGACACTCGCCACCTACTGGGAAGCCCCTTGATAAATATTTGATTTTTTGATCGCCAGAAAATGACCGCAGATACCTTGTCGTTTGGTAGTTATACATAGTCTGTTCCTCTTGTGAGTAATCTGTTATTGACTGATAGGTTGGTCCTCCTCCCACAATTTTTAGATAATATTTTCCATAGAACTGGTTAACCTGACCTGTGGCTAAGTCTAATACTCTAAACACTGGTGAAAAATCTGCCATTGAAAAAGCATTCATCAGTCTCTTCTGATAATATTAAATAAGAAATGCAAGCAAGCAAAGAAATCCTTGTAATCTATATGATGTTGTCTTACACAAAGTAATGTATCTTAATTGGAAATGAATCAAATGTTTGGGAATGGAGCGATACAATTAAATCAACGATTGGATGACCTTTGCATTGAATTAGGAAAATGTGGTTCGTGCTAGCTAAGAATGAGTTTCTATTTCAGGTTTCTAAAAGCGATTCAAATTTTTAGAATTTACTGCAAAGGTCATTTCATCATTGGAATTAATTTCAGTTTCGATAAATATACTTACCTTTCAAGTTTTATGGTCTAGTAAATCAACTGCGTGAATGATATGATATAACATAACTTGTGTCTCAGGTGCGTTTAGAGCATCAAACAACTCAAAGCGAGATGGAAAATTTACGAAAACACAAAGTTGGCTAAAATTGAATGCCAATATTTGTAACCTTACCTCGGTAAAAATAAAAGCATGGAGCCCCGTGAACGGCAGAACAATAGTGCTTTTTACTCGAAGAGTTTTTTGAGGCCTCAGGATCAAAGTAAATCTTCCGACCCACGGGACACCCGAGGAGCACAGTCATCACGTAGGAGCCCTTGACAAGAGATCAGTGTAAGCAAGTTTTAAGAGAGAGGTAAGATGCTAGATGAATGTTAGTCTGGAGCTGAGGAGGTACCGTTGTGCCCATCTTAATTCAATAGGCAAGGATGCTGTTTTAGACACGGCCTGCATCAACGCCTCGTATAACGGGGTAATTTTGTATTAGTAACTGAGTTGATAACGTAAACTGGCCACCGTAAAGAATTGAAAAAACTGACGTTTCGAGCGTTGGCCCTTCGACAGAGCGATTGGAGGAATTTTGGGTTGTTGTTGAGAAAACAAGAATAACTTTGTTGAATGAAAAGCGCTCGTTGATACCGTGGGGACTAAGAGTGCCGATTTGAAAGATAACTTTTTGTTCTTGAGTTTTGAGGCTTTCCGCACTGCCTAGATGTAGGAAAAGGCCGCAACCTGCCATATGCTTCTTAGAATGATTAGGGAGATTTAAGTGTCTAGCGACTGGTTTGGATGCGTCCTTGTCATTTCTTTCTACGTACCGAAGGTGTTCTCGGAATCGTCGCCTGGTCGCCTTCCCGTTTCACCAATGTATAACTTTTTGCAACCAGTGCAAATTATGCAGAAGATGACGCTGGCGAAGGTGCACCCGAAGTGATCAGTGATCTTAATGAATCTCTCGGGTTCCAAAATTTTCTCATCGTTATGAATGAAAGGACAAGATTTACATCGTGAGCGAGCGTATTTGAAAGTTCCTGGTTGGTCATTGGTTTAAAATGAACTTCTGACCAAAATGTCCCTATGTTTTTGTTACGTTTGCATGAAATTAGCAGAGGTCGCGAAAAGATAGTACCATTCTCTGATAGTACCAGTCTCAGAGACTGATATAATCTTTCCGCTTTTTTTTCAACTAATTTATTCTTGTTTTCTCGTCATCATATTCCCACCAATAGCGTCGCTTCAATTTCGGCATATAAACCCACACACAACCAACAATTCCTCCAATCGCTCTGACGAAGGGCTTACACTCGAAACGTCAGCTTTTTCATTCTTTACGGTGGCCACGTCGTGTTATTTGGAGTGGGGACCGAAAATGAAGGCCATTGTGAGACAGGCATCTCTAGGAATTCCTTCTGCGGCGATCTCGCCCGACTATTTCACGTTGTCCTATTTCTTGTCAGGAAATTTTATGGTCATTACCTGAATGGATCCCCTACTACCAGAACTGGTGCTACAAGACAGACCAGAATTCCAGATCTGAAAAAGACGATGACAAACTTAGATAGGTGATGGACTTCTGAAAATAGAGAAATCAACTTCATTTTATGGTCTGTTTGGCTCGCAGTTCTGTTTGCGTACGGAGTGCGCTTCGAAACGTCCGCAAAAAAACGAGCTTTTCAATGAAATATTCTGTCACCAGATGACCAGGATAAAGATTTAATGAATGGTCTGTATGTTGAGTCACACTAATGTGCGCGATTACCGCTTATAATTTGCACCAGTTTCCACATTGACTCCACTGAGAGTATTACAACTTCCTGTACTCTTGGGTGCAAAAAACCATTGTGAAAATATCATGCCCAAGAACCAAAACGCAACCCACAACTTCCTATCTAGCAGGTTAATCGCTTGGCCAACGCATTTTTAAAATCGATTCCAGCTTCCACGGTGACTGCACTGAGAGCAATACAACTTCCCACTGCAACGTTGCCAGTAAACATTTATTCCTGTACTCCTGAGTAGAAAGACGCGCTGGGAAAATAAACTTTCCTGCCCAAGAACCTAAACACCAACCAGAACATCCTATCTGGAGTCTAGCGCGCTAATCACTAGACCAACGCGTTTTTCACTTGCTCTTAGCTCCTTGCTAAATGGTTTTTATTTACCTGAATATGTAAAGATGCTGGAGTGAGTCTCTCGCCTGGGCGGAATTGTGGAAGTTTAAACCCTGAATCCTGCACTGTCACCTACATGATTGGGATAAGTAGTTAAATAAATTTATTAGTGGTAAGTATCTACTTTTGGTAGTTTGTGGGACTACAAAATCCAAATGTCTGCGGCTCGAATCGTTCTTGAGAACTCTTCTTCATACCATAATCTCTTCTATTCTATGGCTGAAATCAAAATTATGTCATCATCTCTCTGAATGTATTTACCAAATTTAATCATATCATTTGCACGTACCCTACAACCCCGACTTGGGGTCTTGCTCTATGAAAACATGCTCTTATAAGAGAAATTGCACTCATACGCTAGAAAAAAATTGCCTTGGTTTGTAGACGCAGTAAACTTAGTGTGCGATCTTGTTGCGTTTAGTTAACAGAATATTGTCGTGTGTTTAGGAAAAGTACGTTTAGTCATCAACTTGTTTTAAAACGGTTTACCGTTTCATTTCCCTTGCGACGCAAGGATACAAAGTCAGTATAAACTTCCGACATTCGAGCCACAGGCTATGCATGGTAAAAATGATGATAATGAAAATGATGATGATAATTTCATTAACAATGGTAAGGGAAATTATGATTACGTTTACGATTATAATATCAATGTTAATTCAACATTCGCATGAAATAAGCACCAACCATAAAATGATCCAACTCTGTCGTCATTGTGAAGCAAAATTCATGTTTAATCCGAGATCGACTTCAACTAGTCGCGAACATGACAACACTTTACCACATGGTCATCTATCTATTCGACTCTTACCTCATATCTAACGGCTTTTTGAGGGATGAGTTCTGATCTTCGAGAAGTCACATTTAAAATGGTAGCGTCTGAGAGGTGTAACGAGGCGTGGAGATGATCGAGACTCCAAGAATGTGAACTAGTGTCTGTGTAACAAAGATATTTTGATTTTGGTGAGTCGTTTAAGTTACGATAACATTCTGAGACTGAGACTAAGTTTAACATTCTAGAGCTAAACCACTCCTTTGTCTTAACTGCTGCTACTACCAAGAAAAATTAAACTACCAAACATTAAGTTTCCTTCCTTGAAAATTGTCAATACCGGCTAGATCAAACCTACTCAGCAGAAGAAATCGCCAATCCGGGAAATTTCTGTTCATTCTGTTTTCTATTTTTTTCCTTTTAGTTTGGACTATTTAGCACCCACTGGAAATCTTATTTTTAGACGCTTAATGAAATCACTCTAAAATTGATTTGGCATTAGAAAATTTGAATTGAAAAAGCAAAGAGAGAGAGAGAGAGAAAACGAGTGAACACAGAGCGAGAGAGGCTAGATCAGTCTCACTACGGTTATCTACAAATATCTCTCGAACAAGAGTATTTTCGTTCGTATGAGGCCTAATCTCGATGTCACGAACTGAGTGAGGGCAGCAAACAGGCAGAAAGCGTGAAGAAGAAACAACTTCGAAAGAGGAAAATATTCATGTGGTACACAACTGGGAATACGTCCTTTCCCGTCCATTTAAGACTGGCATATCTCAGCTGACGTTTGTTTCCCTTCACTTCCTTATTTTGCCCAGATCACAGCTCACCTACTTGAAATTCATTCTCCAAATAAAGATAAAACACAAACGAGTACCACTCCGATCGTCCAAGATGAATCAAATCTGGCAAAACATCCTTGATATCCAGTGCCTCTTCTTGACTAATACCAGTGCAGTCTGAATTCACAGCCTTTTCTACTTCAGAGAAAAATTCACGAAGTATGGTATTGTTCTGAACTACTTCGCTGGCGTTGTAGACAGCCGGCTCAAATTTGTAAAAACATTTCCTTGTATAAAGCACGTCGTGTTTGGCTTCAAATGTGATGCGCGAGAAAGGACATGTGCGTACAACACTGTTGAGCTGCTTCAGATCGACGTATGCTTTTTTGAGGCAGAATGCTGAATAGGTCTTGGATTTTTTATATTTTTGAATATTTTCCTCTCGTGTTTGAGAGTATAACTTCCTAGAAATGGTCTGGCCAAGTAGGATCTCCTTCAGAAAGATACACATTGTTTCATGTCCATCACTGCCTTTATCAGCAACAATCTGTCAAATCAAATTAGTACTAAACATCGTTCTCCGTTCGACGATCAAACTCAAAATTTGTTTACTTGTGTCTTTTAGTATCAAGGTAAATAACAAAAGGCTAGCTACACAAGGTTAATATCCTTGTGCTTTTCCGCTAAAGATATAAAGTAAAGTCTGGAGAACTTCACTATTTTCTAGTCCTTGCAGACCTTCTGCGGATTTGATTATCATGAGCTCTTTCTAGTATTAAAAGTAAAACTTCATTCAACATGATAAATCATTTGCTGTCAATTTTA